ATACTAACTGTGAAAGCAAGCTCTTGTCCACACCAAACCCAAATACCACTGATGCTACTGTCGTTATCTGTACCGAATAGGCAGGCACTAGCGAATGCACCTTTTCGCATTTTGTCTAATCGTTGATACATTCCACTTATAAGATTGCAAGACATGAAAACCTACGCAAAATATGTTGGTCTATAGAAGTATATGATATACTAATTTTAAACAAATGCTTTTATTTTACCTTTGTTAATTCATTGTTATATTTGTATTCACCAAGCCAAATACTGTAATATTCCGGATCGAATTTTTGCCAGAAGTAAGGTATAGACTTTGTTTCATCCTCGTTAGAATAAAATCTCTTAAAGTCATCAAGATCGAAAGTGCCCTGTTGGATCTAGTTCTTCAACTGTCTCTTTTTTAGACTCTTTTGCCTCCTTTGATTCCTTCTTAGATTCCTTTTCTTTCTTTTCTTTTTTTGAAGGCTATAAATATCATGATTCATTACTAGAATATCCAATATAGCTGTTTGTATGAAATAAAAAAGATATTAACTTTTCCTTGAGTTTCTGCAAACTTCTTTGGATCATATTCAAGTATCTTTTCAGCCAATTTGAAGTAACCAATTACTGCCATCGACTCACGCTGATAAATGACAGTTCGGAACCACCGGTTCACATTCTGGTATGGTTTACGCAGATTTGGTTCTAGAATATACTGGTACAAATGCAGTAATGTCATGGCTACACTAATATCTGCTAATGTCACTCGCTCTCCTACCAGGTAAGTACGTGTAAGTAAATGAGAATTAAGGGCAGTTAATGCTTTCTTTACATCATCCTTAGCATGCTCTATATTCTGCAATTTTAATCACAAAATTAACTCACTTTCAATTTTAACACGTTGATCGCCACGCCGGCCGATGTTGACCGGCGCATAAATTTCACATGCAATTATTGACACTTAATGATAGGATTTTAAAATTATATTTTATACACCACTAAAAATTAAATATTTAAAGAACATATGTGATGAACAAAAAAAATGAAGTAAACTACGGTGAAATGTAGCGGTCAACGTGTTAAGGATCATAAAGAAAAGTCAAAATTTGTATGCACTTTGTTTAACACATATAAAAACCATATGCATTCTGACAAATTGCTAACATTTATGTACCTCCTTGAGTTACAAAAATAGTTAAGCTATTTAACTACTTTTGCCTTTGAAAGAGGATTTACAAAAATAAATAACTTTCATTTATACCTGCTTATTATATGGCATGATTCCAAGCAATGGGAACACCCATGCACAACTAGCTGGAAGAATTTCAGAATCTGCAAAGCCAAACCATTGAATAATCTCTGCACGTTCAATGTCAGTTTTACCTCTCAACTGATCATTAGCCACTAAAAGAAATATATATCTCCATTATACATACGAATAACTTTATCTATATAAGTATCATATAATCACAAATCTTACCATAATAAGCAATTGCATTGCTCTCTGTGATACAGTTTCCATCACATGTTTCAAATGCTGGAACCTAATATGAGAAAATAACGTATGTTACTGAACTTTTAACAGACAATTAAGAATAAAGACAAATAAAGTGTTATATATGTGAATAAAATTGAAAGAGAATACTTAATAAATAATTCAAAAAATTACATTCTACAGTAATAATTTCTTTCAAGATCCAATAGGAAATACTTATTTGTTAATACTTTCGTAAAAAACATACCAGCTGGATTGTCGAGAAAGACGTTAACATATAAGGAAATAACAAAAATATGCGGGTTCATAAATAGCCTTACCTTGCCCAACGGAAATTTCTTTAAGAAAGCTTCACTTTTATTTGTTTCTCCAAAAACAAAATCATCTGCGATCTTAATTTGAGCACCGGAATATTGTGCCGCGATTAGCACCTTGTAGGCTCTGAAGTTTTCCGGGTACGTGTAAAGAGTCTGAAATAAATCGAGACTCCATTAGCTGGTTTCTATATTAAATTACATTTCTGCAAAAGCCTAGATTTTTGTCAGTTTATCATAATGTCGATGTTTAACGGTTCAAATTGCACGAGAAAGACTTACTCCAGACGCCATTATAACCAGCTACGGGAAGAGGAAGTTGAAGGCCGGTAAAGATCGCTTCTCTCGAGTACATGAAGTCTCTACACAGTAATAGATATGTCCTTAAGATGTAGCCACAATGTACGAATCATTTATTTTCATGAAATACTTTGCATGTTTTCAATTAAAATTATAGTGTAATAAGAAAATAATACAAAGCTTAAATTTAACGTTTAAAAGAACTTTTTCACTTATAATGGACATTATCGGAAAACAGTTACAAAACAACGATTAGTAAGACACATTATCCTGATTTACTAATCAATAGTAATTTATCATGTGTATAATAAAATAATTACAATTTTTTAAATAAAAGATCATATTTTTGTGAAGTAATTTTTAAAGTTTTTTAAATAACTTTTCTAGTAATGCTTATATTTTACACGCATAAAAGGGTTTAGACTTTGGTATGTAAAGTTCAATTTATGTAAAGGAAATTTTATTATTATATTTTACAAGTCACTTAAAACTAATAGACGTATTTAACTACATTTTTGTGTAATTAGCACGTTTCACATTCATATTATTTTTCTGTAATGTTGCATATCTATGACAAATATATTATATGATCGCAGTGTGTCCGAAAATGGCAGCGCTGAAGGATGTTGTTTCTTTGTACAAAAATTTGAAAGAAGAATGGACAGCAACTCCGTGTAATTTGAAAAAATGCGGTGAATTACTTAATCAATTAAAGGTGATCTATAACATTAATTTTACCTTTTCTATCATTTAAAAATATTTTTATTACCATAAACGTAATGATATAACCTTGTTTGTGCCTGTGGTCTGTCAAAAGTGGATTGTCATCATATTCTAAGTGTATAATGTACTATTTAATTGTTGAATAATTAATTTTTACAGATTGCTCTTACTCATTTAATGTTTCTTCCAACATCTAATAGTACAGCAAGTCAAAATGAACTACTTATAGCTCGTGAGTATTATAATTCAAAATAAGTTTCACTAAAATTTCATCATTATTATACATACAAAATTTTATGTGATTGCAGGTGATATTTTAGAAATTGGTGCACAATGGAGTATAATAACAGAAGACATACCTTCTTTTGAACGTTATATGGCACAATTAAAATGTTACTATTTTGATTATAAATCAGGGTTAATGGAATCTGCATACAAATATCATCTTCTTGGTTTAAATCTTTTATTTTTGTTGTCTCAGAATCGGGTGGCTGAATTTCACACAGAATTAGAATTGTTACCATCTGATCAAATTCAACTTAATATTTATATTAGACATCCCTTAAGTTTAGAACAATACTTAATGGAAGGTTCATATAACAAAATATTCTTAGCAAAAGGCAATGTACCAGCAGCATCATACAATTTCTTCATAGATATTTTACTAAACACTGTGAGAGATGAAATTGGAGCATGTATGGAAAGTGCATATGATAAAATTTCTATACAAGATGCTTCAAGAATGCTGAATTTAAATTCAGAAAAGGACATGAAAGCATTTGCAGTAAAAAAGAACTGGACCCTGGCAAAGGATGGTTACTTTTACTTTAGTACAACTAATGAAAAGAAAACTGAAGAACCAATTCCGAGTTCAGATTTGGCTACATTAGCAATTGATTACGCGAGAGAACTTGAAATGATTGTTTAAGCATGTACATTTTTCTGTATTTTATAGATAAATAAAGTTTGTCATATAATTATTACAAATTAATACTTTTGCACCTTTCTAAATTCCACAAAACATTTTTACATAAGATATGAAATTATATTACATTATATTATCTCTAAATGTTGCTTTAGAAAGACTGTTTAAATAA